TCGTCAACATACCGAATCCAAAGACGAAAAGATATTTATCAAATAATTTTCATCTCAAAATAATGCATATAAATGTCAGCAAGTACCGGACTGAGAGGATTACCCATAGCCAATCCTTCAACTTGACGAAAATATGCATTTTGGAAAACAAAGTGGGTTTGACTTAGAGAAACTTTAGTGAGCGAAACCAACTCATTAATTTCAGTATGTGTGAAGTGAAATTCCCGAAGCCTAGTTTCAAGACAATTTAGTGCTCCTTCGACCGGAACATTAGTAAACAATGATTTGACATCAAATGAAACCATAATGGAACGAAGTGGGGAAATATTTTTAAGTTTATCAATGACTTCAACAGAATTTTTTACAGTGTGAATATTGTTATCAAGTAGAGGAGAAAATCTGGAAACTAAATATTTGGCCAAAGGATATGAAGCAGTACCTATGTTGGAAACAATTGGTCGAAAAGGAATACCGGTTTTGTGGACTTTTGGAAGAGCATAAAGTCTAGCGCAATTAGTAATAGGCGGAATAAGTGATTTCTTCAACTGAGTTGGCAGAATGTGGGAAGATTTAATAGCACTATTCAATTATTTTTTACTTTCATGAGGTCCGAAGTTGAAGGATCTTTAGGGATCGAGCAGTATGGGCCTTCATTTATCAATTTAGAGACTCCAGTAATATATGTGTGTTTGTCCATAACAACGATCTGTCCGCCCTTATCAGCTTTAGAGATAATGATATTAGTATCAGAATGAATTTCACGTAAGATCTCATTTTCCTTTTTGCTAAGATTAGAACCCAAAGATTTATTGTTAAAATTAACGTTATGAGTAATTAGGTGGCGGATTGTATCCTTCTGCGTTTCCGAAATTTTGGAGAATTTAAAGGCTTTCTCTATAGGGGCGATGATTTGAGGAATTGAAGGTTTAGATGTCTTTGAAAAGTTGAAATTATATTTTAATACTTTTAACTGATCCTCCGAAAGATTCCTATTGGAGATATTAACGATGGAGTTAACGTTTACAGTGGGAAGATCAGCTAGATAATTGGGACTATCCGACTGGTGTGTGAGTTTTTGGAATTTAGAAATAAGCACATTTTTATGCCGTTGACAAACGGTATCGGTTCTAGACCAGGATGTATGTTCAAATGAGGAAAAATTTTTTTCAGTGGAATTAGCAATTTTTAAATGGAGGTAATATAATTCAAATTCAATTTTAGATAAACGTTTGCGTGTGTCCCTTATAATGTGACGAAGAAGTGCCAATTTGAATTTATGCAAAATTTTTGAAACGTGAACGGAAGCTTTAAGGCTACATTTCACATGTATAAATTTGGGAATGAAATTTTGATGTTTGCATTTAAGTAGAAACTGTAGATGATTCAAGAATTTCGTACGCTTAAGGCGTAACTTACAAAATCGGTTCCTGTCAGTGGACATATTGTGAAAAGGGCACAAGCAAGAAATAAGTGAACAAAAGAAATGTAATTCCGAAAGTCCAAACAAGTAATTACTTATAACATAAAAAAAACACCAATAAATAATGAAGACAATTTTCATCAACAAATGACAAAAACATTCCAAAAGGAGAGAAACATCCAATACTGAAAACCAATAGCCACGTGGAAAGAAGCAACGAAAGTCAAAATCTTGCACGTGGTAAACCGAAAAAAATATAGAATTACCTCGAAAATGCCGGTTGATAGCATAAACCAAATCCGAAAAAATGATGGCCACGTGGAAAGAAGTAAATAAAATGGTGCACGTGGTAAAACAATAAACAGTAAAATATTCTCGAAAATGCCGGTTGATAGCACAAACTAGACTAGAAGAGAAACACGCTAATGTGACAATCAAAATAGTAAAAAACAACCTTATATTTTGGCGTAGGTATAATGAAACACTCAATCGATTTTGAGGGCAGCTAAAGGTCCCTCCTCATCAGGAGAAAGAAATACAAAGAAAGAAGAAAATAGGAATCACAGAAACACGTGGTGCTTATCAGCACTGCACGTGGTTATAACTAGATTTTTAAACAGAGTTGCACTGGCCGCCTACTTTTACTGAGCCAGGCTGTCTGATCAAGCATAAAGAAATATTAGCGAAGTTAAAATAGGGAGCGAGGGGCAAATGCACATTACGCTCAAAATCTGACCTTCAAATAATGGAATAATCGCTCCCTATTTTAAACTTCGCTAATATTTCTTTATGCTTGATCAGACAGCCTGGCTCAGTAAAAGTAGGCGGCCAGTGCAACTCTGATTAAAAATCTAGTTATAACCACGTGCAGTGCTGATAAGCACCACGTGTTTCTGTGATTCCTATTTTCTTCTTTCTTTGTATTTCTTTCTCCTGATGAGGAGGGACCTTTAGCTGCCCTCGAAATCGATTGAGTGTTTCATTATACCTACGCTAAATATAAGGTTGTTTTTTACGATTTTGATTGTCACATTAGCGTGTTTCTCTTCTAGTCTACTTCTGTTAATTAGAAGTATATTAATTACTACGACCAACGATTGCGAAAATAAAGGCTCGGTAAGAATTTTTAAGACAGGTATGAGGAGAGGTATGCATATACGTTTGGTACTACTGATTGCAATAAAAAGAAGTGCACAACTAGATGTTATAGCAATCCGTTTCGGAAAAACAATTCCGTTATTCTGCCTATACTCATATAGACGTAACGCAAAAAAATCGTCAAAGAATGAATTCAGGAGCGGTCAAAATGGATACTTCTGTTAAAATGTGATAACCTGAAATTTTTTGAGATTACAATACTTCCTTTACTTCGTACAAGGAAGTAAAAAAATCTGATGTGTACACCACATGACTTCCTTGTGCGGAATATTAAATTATACGCATTTTTTCTTGCATTTCATTTAAATTTATTGGATTGAATTAAATCTACTTCGCCGACAGCGCATAAACGACAATAGAATAAATGCATTCTTTAAAATTCACTCTAGTATTTGTTTACCATAGCGACACTCTGGCGTTAGATTCACTTAACAGTATTAATAATTATATAACAGTTAACTTATATATTTCGTTCATATTATAACTCATAATGCACAAAATTTATATCATTTAAAGAATAGAATTATCTAATCGTTGCCACATGTTCTATTCAAATACTATAATAAAGCTAGAACGATGTATAAAAGAAATTAAGCAAACAAAACAAAAAAGAAACAGTTTTTTCACAGACGATTGTGTATTTCTCATTGAATTAATTCAGTTCTCACTTTGCGAGAAGGCAAAAATACATAAAAACTCAAAATATCTATATTAAAAATTACGAAGTCAATCTTAAACACATATTTCCTCGAAAAAATTCCAGAAAGAATTAAGCATGATTCAATTGGCAATAATAAATGAAGGCGTTATCTTTGTTGTTGCGAAGCTAAGTTTCTCTAGATTGGCAACAAATCCACTAGTCTTTGCGAAGTTTCAAATGTAAACAAACAATGGCCGCCATTAACTCAAAAAGGCTTAGCGGCACTTAGACAACTTTTATAATTGTTGGATAATTCTAAAAATATTGCATACAGATTTACTAAAGGCATAAAAACCTTAACCGGAAGATAAAAACAAACATAATACAATCATTTTAAAAGCAAGAAATGTACAATTTACAAATATATCAGAGTAAAGAAACTGAGATCACTGAGCCGGGTAACAGAGTGTATATATATATAAATATATTTATATACGTCTGGTGAAGCCGATTGCATCTACATGTTATAGCAGTCCTATATACAAAATTTCAACGTTCTGAGGCTACTCGTTTTTGAGTTATGCGGGATACGTTCGTACAGCCGCCATGAAAAATTCTCTTCAGAATTCATTTTAAAGCAGTTTTATAATTTTTTGGAGTAAAAGAGTATTTTATTCTGTCCTTACGTACAGATATCACGCAAAAACATCGTTAAATTGCATTCAATAGCGGTCAAAATGGATATTTTCGTTGAAATATGCTGCCTGAAACCTTTCGCGATTACAATACTTCTTTTTTACTTCGTACAAGGAAGTAAAAAGAGATAGTAATAAATATATACAAAAAAAAAAAAAAAAAGTTGCAAAGGAAATTCCTTAAACACAAAACTGGAGTCTTTCATCACTCATGTAAACTGATGTCTCCAAGAATAGTCCCATGACCTGATTAAACGTAGTGAGTTTTGAACCGCTACCGAAAGCATGAGATGATGAATCTGTGCGTATGAAATAAAAGAGGGAGCCGCCTGGACAACGGCTCCCAGCGCATTATCCAAGGTGTGCGCTAAGAAATTGGTGGATTCGAGTTGCTCGCAGCTCGAACGTTCTATGAACGTAAAAAAGCTACCTGGTTGATCCTGCCAGTAGTCACATGCTTGTCTCAAAGATTAAGCCATGCATATCTAAGTACATGCCGTATTAAAGCGAAACCGCGAATGGCTCATTAAATCAGTTATGGTTCCTTGGATCGTACCTTACTACTTGGATAACTGTGGCAATTCTAGAGCTAATACATGCAGCAGATCTCCGACCCTCTGGGAACGAGCGCTTTTATTAGACTAAAACCAATCGGACCTCGTGTCCGTATCATGTGGTGACTCTGTATAACTTTGGGCTGATCGCACGAGCTCGTCCCGGCGACGTATCTTTCAAGTGTCTGCCTTATCAACTGTCGATGGTAGTTTACGCGCCTACCATGGTCGTAACGGGTGACGGGGAAAGATAACGAAGTCTCTGTGAGTTTAAGAAATTTTTCCTTTGATTTTTAGTTTTTAATCTCGTATCTATAATTGTTTTCCGATTTCCAATCTGACGTAAGTGTCCTTAGGAAATCTATATGATTTAGTTATGACAGGAGGAAATCCATGCAAAAGAAAATAATCTTGAATTTCTATTCCATTCTCAGTGGAAATTTTTAATCTAATGGCTAATATTGAATAATAAAATGATTAATTTGCATTATATTTATCCAAACTTTATGTAACACAATTCATTCCTTTATCAGGTGTGATCCACCATGTATACCATATCTCGGCATGTACCTCACAGACCTTTCCTTTATAGAAGAAGGAACACCGAATTTCACAGATGAGGGATTGCTCAATTTTTCTAAAATGAGAATGGTAAGTACTTGCTGTTCACGCTCCATCTTTAAAATAACAGTGTGCATGTGCAACACTTTCAAAGATATAATTTATTATTGTGTGACGTAACTGCGAGTATAATCACTCTGGAAGTTTTCGGTTAAGGGTTTCCTCTATTTAGGATAACAACACATACCGATAGTTGGTTTGTAAGGCTGGATCTCTGTTTGCTGATACGCTGGTATCATGCTAAATCCTAAACACGCATTATCACCACATCGCCTAAAATTTTCTAACTGCTCGAAAACTTATTTTTTTTAAATGGTGGTAACAAATCCCCTATTTACAAGCAAGTTATAAGGCTCTTCGTGACTAATATCATTCGTGTTTGACTTCTAAAATGTAAAAAAACATTAGAATTAAATATTTGCAAATTTTCAAAGCTCTACTTTGTAGGATAGCACTTAATAAACAATATGTACGTTATAGGAAATGATTTGCATAATAAAAATTTTGTCTAATGTCGCCCAAAAATTTATGGAAAAACTATAAAATCCAGCACTCATCAGTGCTCGCGGTGATTCGAACCGGGAAGAAGGGGGGACACAGTCACTAAATTAACGCGGTGAAGAATTACCGTCCACCACAGTTTAGTTCGGAAGCCACGTTGAAAGTCAATTAAGCATTTATCGGAACAGGAAAAATCAGAAATATCCTCCCTAGGATTTGAACTGTGGTGTCCAACTGGCTAGCTGGACATCTTTCGAATTACACCACGAAGGACCAATTACAGAGTGTAAGGAAAGCAAAAAATTCCTTGCATTCTAGGTAAGAAACGCCGCATGAATGGTTGATTATTTAAATGTGGCAAATGTCTATCTGCTTAAAGGAAAGGATGCCTTCGTGAAGGACTTTCTGAGAGAAACTGGCTTGCAATTACGTTACACATAGTGAAAACAATTAAAACCAACCATGCAGTGCCCGAATCTCTTGCCTGAATTTGAAACCGCGAAGAGGTATTAGTATTAAGAACTATTTACCACTCGGCCACTGGTGTGACATCTCTGCAAGAATATACTATGCGTTATTAGCGGTACTTAAAATTCTACCTAAGAAAATGGATCGTCGCTTTAAATTTTCATTTCGCATGTCGCATTTAAAATTTTTAATTCTAAAATTTAATTTTTTAATTCTAAAAATTTCGTTTTCTTTGCCTTTAAAATTTAAGTGTATGCTCGCTTGAATTATGCTTTGAATTTCAGATATACTAACGTAAGGCCAGATGCTTATTTGAATGTTATACAAGATGTTTGTTTATCAGAAACTATTATTAAGGTAAAAAATCAAAATTCAAATAAGGTATGGAAGGCATAGCTTTCATATAGGGCTCTTTCCTAAGGATATTTATTCAAATGTGTATTACCAATCATACAATGAAATGAAATAATGATTGTATGCATTATACAACAAGTTACATAATAAAAATTATAATAGTTAATTCTGAAGTAAGCTTATAAAAAACAGATAACTAGGAATGATTTCTTTTGAAAGTTTGTTTTGTGTTAGCAAGTTGCTTTCCCTATTCATAAAATAGTGAACTAATGTTTCGAGAATAAGTTTTCAAATTTCTTAGGTCATATGAAAGATAAAAACCACTACCGGGCTGGAGCAGGCATATTTCAGTTGTTTCACCATCATAGTCCTACTTTTAATCTAATTTTACAATCTGTAATTCAACCACTTTCTTCACAATTTTCTTCCTTCCTACTCAACATACCTCCTTCACCTCGGCACAGTTTCCTTCTCTCAACACAACTTCGGGGTTATCCATCTTTTTCTTGCAAGTTTTAGTCCTTTTTGTTAGTCCTTTATCACTGCTTTTATATCACCCAATCACAATTGTACTATATACCTAATTGCTTAGAAGATCGTTCATATTTGTTTTATGTGTTATGTGTCTTAAATCCAATGAATTTTGCAGACTGGAGATACATATCCTTCCAGGCTTCACTCGTAATTCCTTTAATTAATTATCTGATTGATTCTAGAAAGGATCATCTACCCTAAAAAGAAGAATGTCTTGATGGATATCTCTCTATAGTACTCAGTTTAAATCATAATATGAAGCATCCATTATAGCTTGCATTTTTTTTATCTTCAAATTCCAAATTCCATATGCGCGCAGTAATGCCCAAGTGAATATAACAATTGAAAACTGCTGATTCGTCCCGGAACTCCCCCCCCCCCCGACGAACGGATTTCCTGCATGGATACTTTCGTCCTTTCATCATACGCCATGTGAATAAGACCAGTTTCTCTCATAAAATTTACCACGAAGATATCTCTTTCTTAGCCCTTGCGTGCTTTGTCATATTCTATTCAAAGATTAAAGAAATCCGCATTTTTCGCGCTGAAATTAATATCAAACTATTAATAACTTTAAATGATATTCATAATTTATATTCCATTAAAAAAACAACTAACTAAGGCGTTTATTTTCCCCATTTGATTAGGATAATTATATTTAGGCAAAATTTAAATTTAGACTGAAGTTAATTCTTAAGATTACGAGTTTCGAGAGCATACGTACAGGATTCCCCTTTTACAAGAAGCAAAACTATTTGGCCAAATGACAAAAGACTAATTTTTATGAAGTGGTTTAAGTCCTTTCCTATCCTACAAGAGAGAGAACATTGACATTTAGTGTTGGGCTTCAGCCGGAGGACAAGTCCATTTTTCTAGACTAGAAGATGTCAAGACTTTCAATGACCTATACCGTTAACAATTACTTGATTTGTGTTTATACCACGTGCAAAAATAAGATGACTTTTCGTCCCGTCCGCCTTCCTGACTAGAAGTATCTCAACCAACGCTAAGTTATATAAAACTAGTTATTGACTGGTCGAACCCACGTTTACAGAAACTGAAGATTAGCAAAGAACTCCGTTAGCTTTCGTATTCCTATAAAAATTTTCAGCTCAGATTCAAAGAAAAGAGATTGTACTTTTTTTACACATTGATTAGTTCCCAATAATAGCAAAGCATAACTTAAACTATTGTCTAAACACTCACCAAAAATAAAAGTATAGAAAAAGTCGCTCCCGCCAGATTTCAACTTACTCGGAAAAAAAAAATAATAATGATCTTGGTAGAGAATTTTAAATTCTGCCTAAATTTGAGCTAAAGCTTATTGCATTAATTCAAATTTTATAGCAACTATAAATTAAAGAAAAAAAAAAAAAAAAAAAACTCTTGCCGAGTACTTTCTTTCAGTTTTTCTGGAAAGAAAAATAGTTAAGTTCAGCATAATTTGAACATCAGCATTTTACATACAGTAAGACCCCGCTTAACGCTGTTTCAGTTTAGCGCTCTTTTATTTCAACCCCGGGATTCCACGAAATCGCTCGCAGCATACGGGGATTCCCCGAAATATTATGCAGCGATAGGTTTCAAATACATATCCGAAAGAGTGTACTTGTATTTCTTGTTTGGTGCGGTATTGTACAGACATATTTTGAAGGGGTAAATGTCGAAGATGTCGAAGAAATAATTCAAGAAGCAGCGGCTAATCTTTCTAATGATGAGCTAAAGGAATTAACTGAACAAGAAGAAAACAAAAATGTTGACGGCAGTGATTCAGAAGAAGAGCAAAAAGAACTTTCGATGGCGTTTGTAAAAAGGAGTTTGTCTACCATAACTGAAATAATGGATCAATTCATTGAAAATGATCCGTATTTTGACAGGAGCTCAAAAGTAAGGCGTGTTGTTAGAGATGCTCTATCCGTTTATGAAGAACTTTTAAGAGAACAACACAAAAGAAAAAGGCAAACAACATTAGATGCTTTTGTCACAAAAAGGCAGAACACTGAAAACGCGGAAGGCTAACTAAATATGACTGACTTAGAATTTTATTTGTTTTTTTTAAGAATATTCGTTTGTTATTTATATTTTGTTTTTATTTTTGCAAGAAATAATAATGTGGTATTAATTTGGGCTTTAAGAAATAAATGTTTGGTTTTATTTTTATTAAAAAAACATACTTTTTAAATTTAATACCTAACCAATTTCCTAGCCATCTTCCCCTAACCCCAATATTTACATGTAAAGATAGCCTCGTTTAGCGCTGTTTCGCATTACGCTCTACTTTGATGGAACGTATCCCCCGCGTTAAGCGGGGTCTTACTGTACTTTGAACTTTTATATTTATAGCAATACTTTTTTTACACATTGATTATTTTATTCTGTCTATCTTAATTTGTATGTCTATATTATGTATCACGGTCTCCTACTTCATAACTCAACTCAAAATAGGTTAGTTTTCATCACATTAGTTCTCAAAACCACAACCACCCTATTTCCAAATCTATTTTTCTCACACTTAGATGGTCTGGTAATGGTGTTCCAAAATTACAGGCTAAATTCTATGCTTTTATTTGTAGCTTTTGTGTAGAATAAAAGATCACTGATTTTTTTCATAATTATTTTGTATCGTATCCTTGTAATGTCAGGGTGTTTGAAAATTTCAGGATCCTCAATTATCATCTGTCGTGAATGTACCATTTTTACAAATTTAAAACACATTATTTGTACCTTTACCTTGCTCATCAGAATCAAACAGAAGTTTGATTTCGACAGAGATCAGCCTCGATATTTTCAGGTCTCCTTATTAAGCATGATGCTATTACCGTACAGATAATGATGGAAGCTGAATCAGTATATATTATTACCAGCTCTTTATCAAAGTATACTTTATTTTTTTTACATCATCTGACATCAGGACTGATAACGTCTCTCTTTTTGTGGTTCTTTGTGTTTCGTTGAAAGTTCTACTAAAATATGCCACTGACTTAAACCATCCTACAGAAGCAGCTCCTATAACAAAATCAAACGCGTCTGCGGAAACTTCCTTTTTATAAGCTGGGTCAAGAAATTTGAAGGTGGTAACTTGAATTAAAGCAGCCTTTAGTTTTTATACAGCTGTGTTTGCCTCTGCAGACCAACTAAAGCCAGTCTTCTTCCTCTTCAGATTTAGCACTGATTCTCTATCCGCTATTTTCTGTGCAAAATATTTGGTGAATGCTCTGTAGTATGAACACAATTTTAACCTTTCTCCTTGTAGTAAACGGTGATTAATTTCTGATTGCAATGATTTTCAATTCGTCTTTTTCTATACCTATTTGTGACATTATGTAACAGAAACAATTAAATTGTTTAGTCTCAAATTTATATTTTAATGCACTTAATTTTAACCCTGCTTCTTGCATCACTGAAAAAAACTTCCCGTGGGTGATCAATTGCGCTCATCAGTTGCATTACTTGTGACCTTGACATCGTCTAAGTAAATTAACGTTGATTTTCCTAGTAAAATCCATAAAGTGATATCCATAACTCTTTGGAACATAACGGAAGCTCCACATGATCAGAACAACAATCTTAGGAAATGCATCAATACCTGCTTTTTTTACGAATGCTGTATTGTTTTATGCTGTTCCATTTTCGATAGTCAAGGGCAAAGAGCCAAGCCTCATAATCTGTGGGGAGTGGAGGATTTTTCTCCTTCTGACGCAAAACCACAGAACTTGCATAGGGACTACTTATGGCAATTATGATTATATTCCTGATTATTTCACATATACCTTTCACATATATATGTACGTATACTTTAGCTTTATCATCATATTTGTATGGTGTAGTCCTACGTAAAGAACTTTCATCGCTATCAATTTCATGTATGACTGCATGCGTAAACCCAAGAGTCTCATCAAACAAACCCAGAAAAGTGCTTACCAGTTCCTGAATTTCCTTCTCTTATGGGAGGGGCTGGTCTTCCAGATCTGGGGTTGGTGTTTGTACGTCCGTGCGAGGATCTTTTCCAGCTGATCTATATATGTTTCAAAATCAATATGTATTTCCACTTCTTTCAGAAAAATCTAACTATCATATTACATTAGCCTTCAGTTTCCTGTCTACATAAAACATGACACTACATTTCTCATCCTTCACCTGGATGTTTAGCCGTCATACTGTCTATGTATTCTGTTCCTATGCTCTGTCTCTTACTGCTAGATAAACCTTAATCATTGTTGCCTTAATTACGCTGAATTTGTGCATCTCGCCGCTATCTTTAACTAATAAATTGTCTTCAGTGCATATGTACCAGCTTAGAACCTTCTCTCTCAGGCGTCCGCCACCGCTCAGACCTTTTGCAACTGGATTTTCAAATGCATATTGCGCTTTGTGATATTCCAATATCCTTGTGTGCTTCGCATATTCCAATAAACTAACTTAACTTTCTACAGCTGAGTACAGGATCAAATGACACTCCAGCCCTTTCAGAAAACTCAATACCGAATTTTCCCCAACGAAACTAACATCAGGTTTCACAGATGCTCACAACACATCTACAAGATATCCGAATTCCTCAAGGTAACAACATGTAAACTACTTGTAGTTTTGCAGAAGCTAAGCTAAAAGTATTTTTATTTAGGGATATATTGTAAAATGCGCATTGTATGCCACTATAGAGTTACGACATTTAAATCAAAGTACCAACTAGCTGTTATGTAAGCTTAAAAAAACTGTCGAACGACTTTTTAGTCGTCTGATTTCCTGGTATGAAATGCCACAAATAAAGTAAAAATCAAATAAAAGTATTTATTTGCACTTCGACCTGATGATTATACAAAAACAAAATTAACAGAAACAGAGTTTCGCTAGCTTGTGGGTAGAAATAACAACTTTTAATGCAAATTCGAAGAAAAGCGAATGTAATTCACAATAATAATAAAGCCAGACTTAAATTTTGCTATCTGGTGACTAATCACCTGCGAAGAATCTTTGCCGGAAAGTTAAAGTACACATCAGAATTCGAAATGCAATAACAGACAGCCTAAGCTGACAAACGTTCTGAACCTTTGAGAAACTTTGCAAGTTGACTTACTTTAAACTAATTTTTATTCTAGTGAAAATTAACGGAAACAGAAGTATAAAGAAAACAAAATGATGAGATAACTGATTATTTGAAATAAAATCTTGCAATACTGCATTTGAAAATGAAGAAATATAATAATTTGTAATTAATGATGATTCGTGACTCCTCACTTAATTACATATGCGGTGCGGTTTATATTCAAAATTCGTCGAAGCACTGTTTTTTTACCATACGTAAATTTCCGTTGAAACATAAATATCGTGATAAAAGACGTTTTAAATATTGGGCTTTTTATAAACCTTTTAAAGTATTGTCAATGCAGTTCATGTCTTTGTCAACGGAGAACTTCTAGACGAAAACGTCTACAATACATGTTATTCTGAAATTTTAAGAGCAAGTTCTCTATTATTTCATATATATATATATATATAATATTATTGTTGATTGTTTAATATATGTTAAAAAGATGATTGTAATGCAACTTTGATTTTGAAAATGTACGTTGAATTAATAAACAATGCAATATTTTTTTAAGAATCAAATATAATTCCTTCTGTTATTCTACTTATGTGCTTTTCTCTGTTTCCAGATTGCTCACGTTATCCGAGAAATTCGGCATTTCCAGCAAACTCCATACAAAATAGAAATGAGTCCGAAGGTTAGTGTTTACCTTTTAATCAAACTTCATTTACTACATACCAATTTTTGTTTAATAGTAAAATGTTTTAAAGTTACCTAATATTTGCAATACAGACATCCATCAAGATATTACGGATTCGGTTCCAATTCGTCAGCCATAAAAATAAATAAATAAATAATATATTTGTGATATACACTCTTAGACAAAAAAAAAAAAAAAAAAAAAAAAAAAAAAGGGGAAGGCCACCACGACGCACCGAGAAGATATAAAGCAAATTGAACACAAATTGATAGGCATACAGGTTTCGACGGAAAATTCAAAATTTCACATTTTGGCTGCCAATGAATGCACAGTTGTTTCAGTGCATCTGATCTGCGCAACTGGCAGGATATTTAAGAAGAGAAATTACCATTCCAAGTCATAAATTTTTCACGAATTTCATTCCGTGTACTCTGGTAGACAGTAACTATGCCTTGCATACAGGTGCGTGAACGATATGCGCAGATGTCAAAATTTGAGAGAGGTCGTGTAGATGGGTTCAAAGAAGCCGGTTGGTCTTATCGGCGAATACCTCCACATTTGAGCAAGAGCGATGCCACTATTAGACGATGTTGCCAGGAATGGGTGAACCATGGACACACACAGCGTCAAGAAGGAAGCGGTAGGCCTAGAGAAACGACAGAAAGTGAAGATCGAGCAATCGTCAGAGTGGCACTCACAGCCCCAGATGCATCATTATCATCGATTGTACGTGCAACTAGCGCTTCAGTGACCGCAAGGACCATTCATAGACGGCTCACAGAAAGGGGGCTAAGGTCACGGCCCCCCTTGCGCCGAGTACCATTGACCTCTGTACAACGTCAAGCCCGTTTGCAATGGCGTTGGGCTCATTCGCACTGAAATGTCACTGCTGGAGTAGAATAGTCTTCAGTGATAAGTCCCGCTTTGAACTGAGCCCCTGATGGCCAGCGAAGACGAGTCTGGAGACGCCCCGAACAGCGGTGTGATACCAACTTGTCTTCCGGCAGACAGGGCGACAACCAGGAGTGATGTTCTGGGGTGCCATTTCATTTCATAGTAGGACACCTTTGTTTGTCATCCGTCGCAAACTTACAGCACAGCAGTACGTCGACGAAGTTCTAAGACCCGCTGTGTTGCTCTTCATGTCACGCCACCCTGAGTTTACATGTCAGCAAGATAATGCCCGCCCCCACACTGCACTTGTTTCTACTGCTTCCCGAACATTACTTTGGCCAGCAAGGTCGCCGCTCTCCTATTGAGCACGTTTGGAGCATTATGGGTAGAGCCCTCCAACCAGCTCGGGATGTTGACGATCTAACACGCAAGTTGGACAGAATTTGGCATATCCCTCAGGTGGCCATCCGCAACCTCTATCAATCGATTCCTAGCCGAATAACCGCTTGCATAAGAGCCAGATGTGGACAAACACGTTACTGACATTTTCACTTTGTGTAGCTCTATCACTTCAAGAAATCATCCAATTTTTCTCAAACTGTAATCATTTGTTTTTCTGTACATGCAAATCACTTCTACCGATTTTCGGCCCATTCGGATAACTCCTTCTTGGTGCGTCTTTTTTTTTTTTTTTTTTTTTTTTTTTTTTTCTCTAAGAGTGTACATGCGATCGAAGCCAGGCAATGATAGTTTGGCTTGGTTCACTTTCAGGTGAAAGTGAACCAAGCCAAACTACCAGCACGGAAAGTGAATAAAAGTATTCAAATAATTACAAATGCAAGCAATTTAAATAACGTTGGGAGACAGTCTAGGGTTGTCAAATAGCGGATATCTATTTTCTGCAATGGAAGCAGATTACTTCTGTTTCAAACTTCCTGAGCCGACGTTTCGCGTTCTAAGGTTTATTATGTTGCCTGAATATAAATACTTTTCATACTTATTCCAGCATATATGTTACGTATATAGACAGATCTACTAATTCCCGGGGAAAGTCCCGATTATTTTTTCATCACATAGTGATTACCTGCTACCGTGAAAGCCATACAACTGACAACTGTACTATGCAAAACTGGCAGTTCCTATGGCCTCAACCCAAGCAGGGTAGTAAAACTCTGAAAATGTTAAAGCTGCTTAAGGTGACAGCGATTAATCTTAGCATTCGGATATTATTATCGAACTGAAGTCCCACCCGTCTGCATATGAAAACACGGGAACTACATCCGTTATTATGATCAAGAACACGGTTAATATGATCAATATATTATAGAATAAATTATTAAATATAAATAATTCATAATAAAGTAACAAAAACTAATAACCGAATTAAGCAGTCAAAAGCGCAAGCCATTATAGCCCACCAGCGGCTAAGCGATAAATTCGCTGAATACTGGTAGTTCTGATCTGGGTTCGAACAGGTTGGCTGCATTAGCGTTTTCGTGTTTTTCTCCATTTGTAACGTGTACACAAGCCAGTTGCCCTTAGAAAGTCCTCCACGAAGGCATCCCTCCCTTAAGGCAGATAGCCCTAGTATGCTTTGCCGTAATTAACTAAATCAAAAATAATAATCTGAAAGCTTTCAGATTTTATACTGTGCGCAAAGTGAGTTCTTTTCCATTTACGCACACATACCCGTTTCGAGAGCATTTGGGGTGAAAATGTTTAAAAACAGATACATTTAGAATTTCCGACAGACATTCTCGCGCGCTGAAGATAAAATGCTTTATTTCGTACAGTGTTGCCACTTATCGCTTTGAAATCGTTGAGATTTTAACGAAAAATTCGTTAAAGTTTTACAATAGATAATAAAAAGAATTCGAAATTCGGGCTCCCAGTATTCCATATTCTTGTGGAGAACTACGTTATTCAAATCTGGATGGCTCTAGATACCGTTGTTTATTCACATTGCGAGAAACAGACATTCATGCAAATTCTTCATTATGCAAATTTCTTTAAATATAATACAGGGCGATAATATTTGGTGGCAACAGCTTGAAAAGTGACTCATCGCTTTTAGTGATTAGACGCAAAATGCCGTTTCGAGACTAGTAGCCCTTCTGCGTTGACACCCCTTTGGGCTAAAAATTGCCAAGTGAGAGAAATATCGCCAAGGAATTAAGTCAACTAACAGCTTGGTTTTGATTTAATTAACCCAGGAAAGAAAAAAAGAAAAAGAAATGGAGCAACCTTAGTCTGGCATAGATTTTGAATAATTCTATCGATTTTTAAGGCAGTAGGATACAGATCTTTCTTCTTCAGAGGGGGGAGGGAGACTATTCGGTAGAATTTTTCTCTCCTTTTCCCTGCTATTAAAAAAAAAATTAACACTTTTAATAAGTTTTTTTTTTTTTTTTTTTGTAATTTTTAATTTTACATTACCATGTTCTATTTTAATGAGTGATGCGCTCTAAGTATTAAAATTAGGGATATAACAACGGTCAAATAATTTTAGAAATATTATAAATAGTTCATAAGTTTATTTTTGTGTTAGAAATATTGTAAATTGTCCTTTTCCGAGTATAAATACCGCTGTGCATATGAAGTACCAAATTAAAACAGGATTTTGCTGCGAGATATTATACATATTTCAGCATTAAAATAACGCTACTTTTTTTATTTTTGAACTTTAAAGAGCTGGTGTTCGTAAATCCTGGCTTTTATGAAAATACTATGATAAAAGCCCGAAACTGAAGCGTTTACAAGCTTTCTTAGCACTCCTCCCACCACATTACGAAGTATGCTGGGATTTACCAGTTTTCGGTCTTTTGCGGAAACGTTCACAGGAAATCATGAGTAATCTTATCTTTTTGGCTTCTTTCTGGTATATGTAATTTAGGTACAATTCTTAGCTTCTTAGTATATAGCAGAATAATAAGAGCCAATTTGAGGCCCATAGCAAGATTAATAAACTTTAAAACCATGGAATTCCTGATGCTTTCATATTTTCCTGTTTTGTTTAACTAATTAAATTCAACAATTTTCATATCCAATGTAAAAATATTCTTGCTATCTTTTCGTGAGTTTCAATTCAATAAACATACGCTTGCAACTTTTCTGGAGATTCGGCCATTGAAGAAAGTTCATCTGCACTGAAAAAAAAGTTTCTAAACAACAAAAAGCAGATATATATATTGGCTCAAATCCGTTTTCAGTGAAAAAATAGGAGATTCTTGATTGAAACGTAAAGGAGTTTTAAACATTTTCAACAAGTTGGTCGCTCTTCCGTTCATTGTAATCTTGATAGAACCGAGGCAAGACAATTTTTTTCAAGTTAGTATTGTATTTTAATATTGTTAAAAATTTCACTTCGTGTACTTATCTAACGTAAATATTCATTTTAGGTGACGAATTATCTGTTAGATCCTAGCCGCCTAATGCCAGATGAAGAACTTTATCAATTGTCTCTGTGCTTGGAGCCAAGACTTTCTCGTTTAAGCACTAAGATAACAACGCCTGGTAGTGGTTTCATGGGGTTCTCTTCGTCGTCGTCAACTGCAACGGGTGGACAGGGATCGTGAGCAAAAAACGCTTGCGAAAACTCACTCACTCTCATCCTTCTTTCACGAAAAAACTCTCAACCTGCTTTATCACACGTTCTATAATGGTAATAATCCCTTTGAACAGCCTTCATGTGTCAACCTCGAATAATGTGTTAATGCGGTATTAAAGCGTTGCTGCAGTCAATGCACCAAACCGACAAGCCTCGTCGGATCCCAGATAAAGAAGTGCTTCTTTGTCCCGACTTGTAAAAATTCAAGCCTTTAAGATTTTCATCTTGGATCAGATATGAAGAGTTAAGACTTTATGAATGGTGGGTAAATCCTATGAGTTCTTAATTTTAATTTATAATTTTGTATAGGCCGTGCGTAAGTGAAGGATACGGAAAATTTAAAAGGGGTCTACTTTGTTTTTACTTGACAGTTCTTTACTGTTTTGTATACTTAACCAATTTTTGAAATTTTTCTTTTTGTCTATAGCTTTTAATAGAATATTCCTTTGATGTAATAATCAACAAAACTTTTAACATGCATTTAAACAATCGATTAGATTGTTTGTTGAAAAGGTTAACTTCAAATATTTAATGTCCTAAAGCAGTGGTAACTGTTAATCAATAGTTGTGAATGTTTTTTGTTTTGAAACAGATTAATCGATATATGAAGAAAAACCTTAACTCCAAATATCGTTCCCAAATGTAAAAAAAAAAAAAAAAAATATTTATTTTACTGTACATATTCAGATGTTTCCTAATCCTTGCTAACATTCCACAACAAGTGTCTATACAGTGAAACCTATGCCAATTAAAAACTTAATTGGTGATAGTGCGCTCATTTTGAGGAATTCCAGTAAATACGATTTAAGCAGTACTCTACTGACTACATAAAATAATAATTTTAAACTTGATGCAAAAGGTATGTTGAGAAGGGGAAAAAAATCATCTCTCTTTTACTACATACTGCTATATGTTAAAGACCAAATATTTCCAATCTGCTTTAAAAAAAAAAAATGGCACTGTTCAAATCAATTTCAATTGTTGTGAACTTAAACTGAGTGCATTATGACTAACTTTATTTAAGAGATGTATAAAGAAATTTTTAAAACAATATTATAATGTGCCAAATGAATGTAGCTGTTGACAAACTATTAATTCGGCTGGTCCGAATTTTAATTGAGTTTTATTTAATGAATTTGGTTTCATACAAGTATAAAAAAAATGCACAATGTCGAATATCTTCGTATAAAAATACTACAGTAAAGTATAATAAAAAATTATTAAAACTAAAGGAAAGAGGTAATTTAAATAAAAAATAATAAGCAGGTAAAGTAACAATAAGTTGATAAGTAAGTATATAAAGTAATGTCAATAAAATTTCGAAACAGTTCGCTGCACTTATTCATTCTAAAAACTTAATCTAGATTTCATTAACTTGCTTTACAGCGAAAACGTTAAGCTTGTTTACGTTATAAAAAACACTTATCAAGAGCTACTTCAGCATGTACCTCAATAAGTTACATAAGTTACTATAGCGGCTTAAAATACTGTATCATATTAAACTGAAATATATTTATGGCATGATTATATAAAAATATATATATGTATTGTATAATATATATATAATTCTTCCTGTACATACAAAATGCTATCTTTTTAAGGAAGTGAAATTTTTGTGTTGTAAATACCATGTTTTAAGTTATTAAGAAAATGTTCTTTAAAAACTCAGTGCCAAATTCTCAAGAAACTTTCATGATATTCATTTCTGATAAATGGGATGGACTGGAGATTGGAAGAAGCTTTATAAAAAGCGGATACATCACTAAGTACAAAAAATATCAAGTTCCTAATATTTAAAAGTTTGTGATTTAAAATTCAGGAAAATGAAAAATTCGTAGACGCACTGAAATACAGATTTTGATAGAAATTCCAAAACAAGTAAATTCTATGAATAAGTAAAAAATTCTCCGAAAACACCACACAAATAGCGCGTCAAGTTTACACATATTAAAATATCACTAAATAATATTATCCGTATTTAATTATTCAATCAAAAGCAGTAAAAATTATAAAACCGATTATTTCAGACCAAAAAAATTTCCATTTTGTATGATAATTTATCAGCTAAAAAAATAAAATTCCAAAATTTCCTTAAATTACCCGCAATACCTCACTTCATATCTTAAATTTTCTTAATTTATTCACAATCTCTTTTCAGCAGTATTTGTTTTCACTTATACCAATACGAAAAATAATGCCGACAATAAAATATAGAATTTTATATGGATACAAAAATATTATTCTAGTTTATAAATATTATGAAACATTTTACCTAAGAAAACTATGAAAATGTTTAAAGGCCACAAAATAAATTATGGCCGCCCAACAAGATAGTGGTTAGTGATGCTGATTACCTTATTAATAGGCCAGAGTGTGAATCCCAGATAAGCCATAGATGCTTGCAAATGTATAGTGTCTCTGTAGAATGGAAGATACCCAAATATACGTGTCAAAAGTTCTCTTCAAAAGTCTGGTATAGAAGACGGATAGGGACATTTTGGACCCATCTCCCAGGGAACTATCCTTCAAAATTGGGGCGGAAAGTTGTACTGTAACCTATATGGCATTCAAGGCTCGTGCCAACGACTGACGTAATCTTGTACTCCTTGCCTCGATACAATTCGTTGGTTTATTCTGTTTAAGTCAGGCAAGTAAGATTAGTAGCAAAAACAACAAATAGCTTATGAACTCGAAGAATGTTGCAAATTATAAAAAGTAACCTGAATTCGGAATATAATGATGAGCCTCTAAGAACTTTTCTGCAAAATCTGCCATGAGAAAAGTGAAAATGTCTGTATTAGAAAGACTATCAAATGAAATACGTTAATTTAAATGCCATTTTATCCTCACAAATACTTAAACATTGCTTTTCGAAGCATAGCCAACTGATTAAAGTTGGTTATGTTTCGAATACCATGAATGGATTCTTGAAGCAAAATAAACTTCACATAGATCGAAATTGAATTCTTGAATGGGTTTCTGGCAGCTGGTCTGTTCGCCAAGTCAGTAAAAATTACTTTCTATTCTAACTGCTTGACACTTTTCTGGATCTTTTAAATATGCATAAATTTGTGCGAATTCTGGATCATTCTGCAGTTCTTTTAATTAGGGTTTCCCTAGAATCTAAAACGACAGAAGTCATCAAGTTGCATTTTATTTTCTTGCTGTTTTCGTCTAGCTTAATACAATGGTTTCACTGATAAAGATTTTGAGAAGCGCTGTATAGCATATGCACACCAACAGCCGTGCAGAACATTTTAAATGCTTGAAAACGTTCTTTCAGCTGACCGTAGAATTTCGATAAATTTATTTCATTTATAATCCATTGTTTCTTTCAAACTGACAATGTATCGAAATTTTCCGCTGTAACTTGCACCTAAGCTGTATTAATCACTTATTGGTTATGATGTCCGAAGTCGTTAATAAAGTCATTGGTGATACCTTTTCGGGATTTCTCTCTGGAAGTTAAGATATTGAAGAATCTGACAGCAGCCATGAAAACTTTTGTAAATCTGTCCCGATACAAAGACAGGCCACTTTTGTTTCGTACACTAGTACATTTCAGGCATCTCCAATGGATAAAGCAAAAGATGTATCTTTACCTCTGGAGTAATACTGCGTAATGAACTAGGTATTTTTACGTATTTCCTTGAGAGTGGTAGCAGGCTCAGCAGTTTTAAACTAGATCTGAAGATCAATCAGCATTAATAAATGTATGCTATATATAATTATTATAGAAGTTCTTGTTACGTATTACATTACTAAAGATACAGATAAAACAAGACCATGGCTGTGTTACAAATTTTAGTATATTAATATATATGTAAGTATTTTAATTTCTTGATTATACCAAAAACATAGTTCTTAAAACAAATCCCAAACAGAAAATGGTTTATTGGCCCCTTTTCTCTGTTTCTTCAAATTTTTTGAAAGAACGGCAGAATGAATATTTCTAATACGTTGAATGCTTTAAAAGGAAATCTGCTAAATAACTGACATTTTTTTTTTTTTTAAATTTCTTGACTAAACAAGTACATATGTTTATTTAATGATCCCTTGCTCTTTGAATTTATTTATCCCTTTATTTCGACAATTTAAAAGTCCATGAATGATATAATTACATAACAGGTACAAGAAGAAAGGTTTTGTGGATACTGTGGCTCTCGTTATTAGCAAGTAGGACTACTTTAAAATTGCTCGACAAAAAGCTACAAGCTAGTTTTATTCAAAAGCTTAGTAATTTGCATTTTCCTCCTGAAAAGTAAGAAATTCGAAATCCACAATCAGGAAAAAAATATTCTGAGTTCAAAACATTGAAAATTCATGATCTGAAATGTTACTTAGTTTGGCTGTATAAAAGCTGTTTGAAGGCTTTACTTGCTTAAATCTGATACAGAAAGGAAGAACAGAAATATTTAATCTGCCTTTATATAAAACATTGGTTTCAAGATTGTGCATAATAAGCTGTATTAGTACTCTGCTACAAACAAAACATAAAACTCATTAATTGCCCAAATTATAATATTGAAAAGTAATAACTGAAACAAAAATACAACTAAGTGGCCATCATATTTTTGAATCGGTTCAGTTTCTCAGATGTCAGATTTTGCATTTATTAATTTCCATTTAATCTATTTTTTATTAACTTCAATTTTTTTATGATTCACTTCAAACTTTATTACAACTAAGTGGCCATCATATTTTTGAATCGGTTCAGTTTCTCAGATGTCAGATTTTGCATTTATTAATTTCCATTTAATCTATTTTTTATTAACTTCAATTTTTTTATGATTCACTTCAAACTTTATTTAGATTGCGAAATATATAAAAGCGGTGTTTAAAACATTGTTTACATAGAATGCAAAACACATCAAAAGCATATATTCCTCAATAGATCAGTAGACAAATTTTCATACATTCATGGACTGCTACATTAACAATTAAAGATAAATCATCAAGCACATACCAAAATAAAAACATATTTCGAGGCTTTTAACAGAGCTTCATTTGAAAAGCAATAATACAGTCTTCCTTTATCAGTAACAATCTGCAATCATGTCTCCAAATTTTAATCCTTCTATTGAACGATTCTGGCTGATTATAAACAAAAAATATGATTTAGGATATTGTAACTTTTGAATTTCTTCTCAAATTATCTATAGATATAA